GGGGGGGAGAGACCCACCGGCTGGATCGAGCCTAGTCGCTGGGAGGCTAGTCAAAACCCGGTTGTCGTTGAAATAAATCACGTTGTCCTTGTTTGCCTCACCGCTCGCCTGATATATTTGACCACTTTGCGCTTTTTTTTGCAGAAGTTCTCTACAAGTGGTCGACAATTCGACATAGATTGGCTGCTTATGTCGTAGAAAAATTTCCTAAAAAAACAACCGTCCCTTTAAGATGTTGGCGGCAATAGCTCTCGCGGTTCTTTCTACAAGCTGTATGCCCTACGACAAAAATGTCCAAATTACACTTTGTCATATTTATTTTAAGTCGTAAGATGAATGATTTATTCATTATTCATATCTTTTTCTTTACTATACATGAGTTATTTTATGCAGTACGTATTTTAGGCGCGGCCATTTGAAAGGGTCTAGGAGATGGTCTAGAAATCATTTTGTGGCAATACAAGGCTTTTTGTATCTGCGCGTAGCGATAGATACTATGCTATTGAATTGTGTGTGTGTGTTAAACACGCAGATTGACTAATTAGGGTGGTACGCCTGCGAACATGCAGTAAAACAAATATGGCGGCTTTTCGCAGATGCATGTATGCCAAGCGTACCTATTTTTTATAGTGTGGCTGTATTGCATATGAAATATTGGTCTCTGCAGTAATCTTCCCCAGAAACTAAGAAGAAAATAAAAATGCCACGCATGCGCAGGATGCAGTATTGCCATTCTTGAGCCAAGGGCTTCCCCGTGCCCGCGGGGAGCCTCTGGTAACAGCCATTTTAGGGCCTTCATTGATTGACTGATACGACGCTCATGCCTAACATAAAATAAGCTTTAATTATCTGGTTTTCCAAAAGCTGATCTGACTAAATAACAGCAAGATTTGTTTGTTAGTTGTTATTTCAAATTTTTCTTTTACGCATGCGTCATGTGCGGGGGAGGGGGGCTCTGGGTTCGAGAATAGAGTATTACATACTATATGAAACATTTTGTATTTTTAAATGTCTGGGGCTTGACTTTCGGCATTCTTAGAAACAATTTGTTTTATATAATTCATCCGCTAGACAAAGATTTGGTCACGGGAATACTAAAATACTATTCTTAACTATGTTATTCTTCCCTTTTTTGTTTATATTTTCACCTTCACTGGGAGGGGGGGGGGGGCAACATAGTTCATTGGAGGGGCCAATCTCGTACCCAGAGTATGCGCGTTCGCAGGTTAGGTGCTCATGCCCAGCACCTACGAGATACGAGATTGTGGAAGGGCCAAAACAGGGGCTGGGGGGGGAGTCCCCACAAGTCTATGTTATTAAAGCGTCCTGTATTTGGGAGAGAACTTTACGTACTTCTTCCTCCCTATTGTTCTCCTCCAATCGCGCCAGCTCTTCCTGAAGCAACTCCTCGTTGAGTCATAGCTTACTGGCTGACTCATAGCTTACTCAGTGGTGTAACTTTACTTTTTGGACCGCTTGCCCTCCGGGCAAGTTGGACATGAAAATTAGTTGCCCTTAATAAAATTCACTTGCCATCAGACAATGG